TCTCTTTCCACCCACCTATCTAACCCATATTCCTTGCTTGAGCTTTCGAGCAGCTCACTATTTAATAATATTAGTGCAAGAGTATCAAGAAAGGCACTGAAGGAAAAAATAGTGTTTCGTATGGAGCTTTTAACCAAGCAATGCCTAGGTGGCTATCACAATGTTGTTTCAGTATCTCAGGAAGTCAAGTTTGAAACAAAAGCAGTTCAAGGCATTACATGAAAGTTCAGACATTGCAGCAAGAGGAAGAACAGAGAGAAAAAGAAAACATGACAACCTCAGCTACCCAGTTAAACTCTCTGACTTAAATAAATCTGACAAGTGATGGGAAGGCCAAGTAAAGCCATGTCAGCAGAGAAAGCAAAACGTTAAACCCAACGTACAAGGCACCAGTGAGCTCTCTCCTACTGCACTGTGTGCAGTTCCAGCCACAGACATTAAGATGAACTCAGGGTGTAATTGGTGGTGATCAAGGGGTGATAGAAGACATGGAAAGCCCATTTTGCTAAAGGGCATTAAAAGGATGTAGCATTGTTAGCGCAGCACAACAAAGGCTCAGAGGGTACAAGACTGCTGTCTACAAATACACCAGGCATTAAACAGTAGGGAGAGAAGTAGGCTTTTTGAAGCATGATTGGTGTATAGCACAATTTCATAAAGGTTTCATCCAACATAATTACAATTGCACTAGAAATTAAAAGAGACAAATTTTGCTAAATGTTACATTTTTCAGTTCTGGAACTGTTTTCCAGTAGGAGTTGTCAAGGTAAACAAGCCACCTAATCTTAAACCACAGCTTGATAAGTTAATGACAAAGGTCAAATGAAGTGATTGGCTAAAGAATTAGCTGCTGGGACTTGATTTACAGCAGATCTTCTACAATTTTATGTCCAGGATTCTCAGGAAAATGATTCAGTCAATGCATCTGCAGTATGAGGATAAAGAAAGCCTGAGTGTGGAAGTAACAAAAGAATAAGGAAAATGGTCACAAGGAGAGAAGTAAAGAAGGACGGAGGAAAGCTAAAGAAAGAGGGAAACTTTTAACAGTTTCTTTTATGTTTCCATTTTGGTAAGAAAAAGAACATAATAGAATGACTATGGAATAAAATGTATTAATAAAATATGCAGCTATATAAAAAGAAAAAAAAGAGGAAAGCAGAAAAATGGAAACAGTAAAGAATTTTCCTTTCCTTTATATTTACAAAGCTTAGTTTTCTGATAAAAAGACAGATGGTAAAATGCTAAAATACCTTTAGAAATGTAGTATAACACCTATACCCATGTGGGTACCTTGTAATCAAGTTTGCTGAGAGAGAGGATTTCTCTCGTGGCAGGCTGTACAGCCACTGGTATCTAAGTGTTTCATAAGGGCCTTACCAGAGAGAAAAAACCACACAGACCTCACTCACCTCTGCTAACCCTTCCCTGATACACCCAGGTCAAGTGTAAGTCTTACAGCCCACCTGAAGGTGAGCTCCTCCTGGCTCTGGATGAGAGAGTTCCTTCCCCCATGATTGTCCTGTTTCACTTACCAGCAACCAGCTCGCTGTACTTGCCCTACAACAACCCCTCCTGCAGCAGATGAAGCCACCAGTGCAATCTGTACTTTGGTAGTCACTGGCACAAATGCAATTAACCTACTAGCCCCAGGCTGGCAGTCCTGGAGTGATCTTTTCATTAGCAACCTCATCAGAGAGACCAAATCAAACTGGACATGATGACAAGTGTTGGCTTCAAGCTAAGACCAGGATATAGGGGGAACACACCTTGCCGTGGGGTGCATTGGCTACTGCTGCTAGGCAAAGGGAGACATCCTTCCTGGGGAGCTATAGGTCTGATACTCTTTATTATTTTTCTTGAAAACTCCAATGATTTGTAGTGGGATGCTGACTTCATAAATGTACTTCTATTATTGTGGTGATTTTTTTCCATACATGCAATAGAAGAGTGAATGGTAAACATGTATGAATACATTTTCTTTCCAGCCGCTGATCAGGCGATGATGAAAATCAGCGTTGATATTGCTGGAGATTAATGTCTGCTGCTCAGAAAGTGCACACGGAATATATTCTTGCTACAACAAAGCCATAGGCCACATAGGACAAAAATCTGTGAACAACAGGCAGGTTCATATCATCATTGTAACGATCCACACTGCCTGTGTTGCTCTGTAATTAATAATACTCACGTCGGCTTGACTAAAATCACTGTAAAACCCAGGCAAATTAATGCCATGCCTTCATGGCCCAATTTATTCTACTGCTGTTTGAGGTTTTCTTTTCAAATCAGTTTTGCAGTATTTAAAATTAGACACACACACACACACACCCCCATATAGGAAGAAATCCTTCATGGATTTTTAGTCCCGATATATTCAATATGTGCTTAAAGACCATGTAATCACTGGTTTTTTATATGAGCAGTGAGATCTCACAAGTGAAAAGACACTCTACTGAGCTATAAGGCCTTTAAAATCAATCCCTGCCATCAGTTCGTTTCTCACTCTCTTTCAGAGAGGTTGTACTTAAGAGCTCTCCTGCCATGTATACTGGGATATGTTTTCATCGCCACAGCTTCTGTATACTTTTTCTCCCCTTTTATTTTCTTACAAAATAAGGCCTAGGCTACGGTGACCTCAGCCGTTTATGAAAACTTTTTTCTTCTCTATATTCAGTAAGTGCACAGGGCTCTGCCAGGAAATCTGATGACAAGCAGGGCTGAGTCCAACTTGGCCTTAAAAACTAAAGCACAGGCAAGCTACCTGAGGCCATTATAATAAAAAAAATCCCAAAAAGAAAAGAAAAAAAAAAGAAGACATAAACATCACTGCCAGGGCATGTCTCCACGGTTAACTGGCACATTCACCTTCAAAAAGCCCCAAAGTAAGGACTCGAAATTGATACTGACAGCAACGTGGCACGGGTTTATGTTTGCTGTGTTGTTAGTGAACTAAGCACATGAAGCATATGTATACATCACTATTTTACCCTGCTAATGCGTGGTTGTCATGACCAAATTACTTCCTGTGGCTGAGCTTACTGTTTGGTGTTTACAAAGCCACCCTGCTCTGCTTTTGGTAGTGCAGGCATAAGATTCTCCCTGCTCATGGCTGCTGAGTAAACAGTCATGGAATTTTATCTTTTTTTTTTCAATTTCAAAAAATATTGGATATCCCAACAGGTACAGCTGCTGTTATTCTCAAAACAAAGTCTTCTTACATATGCCTATATAATGTTTGCCTTGCCAGTATTGAAATGGCTTCAAGATAAACCCGCAGTCAGATTTCTCAGTCCAACAAAATGCCAGCCAACCACCAGAAATGTCCGAACAGATCTGAAAATGAAAAGCCATGAAATGACTCAGTGCATTAGGTCACTGTGACAGCCAGGAGGTAATACCAGAGTATTTACTTTGGCTGGAGTCTTCCTTGGCTCATCTTTGTTTGTAGTGTCAAAGCCAGGCTCTCATCTCAAGCCAAAGTGCTGTAGCTTGCTTGCTTCAGTAACGGTTCAACATAGGTACCAGGTAAATAACTAAAATGGAGGCTTTTGAAGTGAAATGAAAAACTCATACAGATTAAAGCGAATAATGATTCTCCTCCCTGCCTGGCAGTAAGGAGCAGAACAAATGTACTCTGTGGCTACCAGCACGGTTGTCTTCATAATCCTCCTGTGATTCTGGGAAGCTTTAGACATGCCTGACATTCTCTGTGAGTCTGTCTGTATGAATATCCCTAAAAGTATTGTCCCAGAAAATGTATCATCTTGTTGAGGATTTTCAGCCCATATTACAGTGCAGATGGCAGCTATCATCATCCCTATAGGGATAATGAGAACACGGGCAGTCTTTTAGATATTGTGTAACTCCCCCACAAAGCAAAAGACTATGGTAAATAGTCACATTTCAGTGTATTGAACAGGAGAATTACTCAGAGATAAGAATAAAGACCACATTCATTGCCATCCATTAGCGATTTACTTCACCTCCCCTTTCCAGACTACAAAGGTGATTTCAGGGTAAATCTTTCTAAACTACATGAGCATGGTACATTTCTAATGATGTTTGGCTCTATTCACCACTGAAGCTAGAAGCTAATTCCATCTTTTAGGAAATGACATATATAAATGACGTAAATGACAGGTTTTTGTATAAAGTCAAATGAAGCGCTATAAAAATGGATACTATTTTGTAATGATAAAAAATTTTTCTTTTTTTTGTGAAATTGCATTCAACAATTCTTCCTTTTTCCTGCAGTTTTTCACTGCAAAACAACCATCCTCTGTCTTTATGAAAAAAATTATTTAGCTTAAATGCATATTTACTGAAACTTGAAAGTACTTTCTGACAAACTGAAGGTGAATTATGCACAGGAAGAGTGATACTTAATGATACTTAACGAGATGAAATCTCAGAGCTGTGGTAATGGTGCAACTCAGTTGACTCATATACCAAAGAAATTAACAAAACAGTTGCTTCTTGTAATTAGATAAGTCCAGGAAATGAAATCAATCGGTTTTTGCAAGGAAGGGAATGTGCAGTGCTGGAGGCAAGATGCTGGAGACAGAGCTTTGGCTGAACGCTGGATATGCACAAAGTCCAGGGACCATCTTAAGACCTTTTTCAGAATTAGTGACTTGCAGTTTTGTTTCTTGAATGTTTGCATTAATGATTGTAATTACATTCACTGTATTTGCTTGTCTTTCCCCCACCCCCAAACTGATTCCCCTGTGGTTGTTTTCTGCCTCTCTTTAAGTGTTCAGCACCTGTAGATCCCCCTTTCTTCATCAGTTCTGGTGGGTGTTTATAATTTATTTTGCTCTGGTAGCTGCAGATAGAGATGGTAAGTAAAGCAGTACTTAAAACTATGACTGTTCTATTGAACACCTTATGGTCCTTTGCCTTAAATTTGCATGTCCCTGTCAGTTGAGCCCTGTGCTTTTTGAACAAGCTAAAAACAAACAGGTACAGAGAAAATATAGTTTAAAATATGTTTAATTTACCTGCAATTCTCCTTCCATTATACTGAGGAGTTTAATCAAGTCCTCTTTAGAAAGCTCTATGGACTTCTTGTTCTTTCGTTCAGTAGGTCCAGGTGATTTTGAGTGCCGTTTGACAGTTGCTGAAACCATGACCTCATCTTCCTTCCGATGAGGTTTGTTCTTTTTCTTGGCATCCTCATGAAGTTTTTCATTCTCTGCGTGGCTGATGACAGGCTTGGAACTGGAGAAATGCCCGTTAGACGAGCTCTCTCCACCTTGGTTTCGGGATCTCATCCCTACCTAGAAAGAAACAAACATAAAGATGCATTTATAAACAAAATTAGTTACAAAAAGCCACAATGGAAATACTGCCTTTTGGAAGACCAACAATCTTCTTTAAACTGAAAAATACTGTCATGCTCAAGAGACAGAGGCAAAAAGAACCATTTCAACAACTCTGCGTGTGGCAGCCAGGGAATACAGGGCATGAATTATAAATTTAAGAGAGTTGTAAAGTATGGGTAACCATCTTTTTCAGCATGCCAAGATGCTGATATGAGTTTAAATGTTAAACGTGATGCAGGAAAATTATAACGAATATTTTCCAGTGTTTTCTTTCCTTCAGTCAACATTTTGATCATTCACAATTCCTCACTACAAAACAAAGCAGGCTGTTAAGTAGACCTTATTTTAAGACAAGGTTTATTTGAGAGACAGGAATTCAATTAAATTTTAGAAAAGCGTATCTCTTGAGTATAAATTCTCTACCAGAATGGAGTGACAACGCATGACAAACAAAGGTCACTTGGTAGTTTCTCTGAGTAAAGCAGTGGTTTTAATCCAAGTAACCAAGAAAAATGAGGAATACAGAGTAAATCAAGTGGTAAACTCCATCTTAAGCTAAATACTACATGAGATTACTAGACAGTAAGTGTGATAAAGGAAAGCTAAAAAGAAGTTTGAAAAATGAGCACAGAGAGCATGAAAATGCTAGAAGGATCATCGCAGTCCTTCCAGAAGATTCAGAGTTTCTCAAAAATGTCAGGTCATGGTTATTGAATGCTCACATCTCTGCCCTCTTGAGCACCTACACCACATTCTTAGACTATGTCTATCGTGGGAAATTAAAGTGACAGCAAATGCTCCCAAGCTCTGGCACTTGACCTACTGTATTGCTAAACTTGTAGCACACTCTGTGGCACACTTTTCGTCCAGGGAAACTACCCCTCTCACAAGTAGTTCCTAGGCACAATTCAAGAATTAACTCAGACCAGGTACAGACACAGTCACCCTGTTCTGGAAGAGAGTTTAGCAGTACAAGCACAGCTGGATTGTGCCATTTGAACCCCAGGACAGAATGGGGGCCCCGGGTCTGTTTAGTTTACAAGTAACATAGCCTTGGTGTCACACAAGACTGTGAAAATCATCCTTCCTGTGCGCCATCCTCATCAAACGACAGTCTTCTCTGATTCCTTCTGCTGAATGCCATTCAGCAATATCAAATTAAACCACTTGCCTTTATCTTCAACTCTTTTCACAGTTTTTCTCTTTCTTACCCATCAGCCCTTCTCAAGTTGTTATCCACAGAACACATTCAACTAAATTAGCTTAATCTGCCTGTCTCTTGTCTTCTCCTATGAACATCTCCCTCCTTTATTTTCCCTTGACCATGCAAGTTGGCCAGGGAGGTTGCTAGCCCTTAAAATCCAGTTTACTCTGTAAGGCCTCATCCTGTGTCACTGACTAGCAATGGCAAGAAGACAGGATGGGTTCATCTCTGTGTATTTCATTACTTACTATTATCAAACTGATGTGCATAGGATACTCAGACGTGTTTATACATGGACCTATATTGCTACCCCGTCATGTTGCTATCCTTTTTTGTCACTTTTCTTTGATGTTGAAGTAGGTCATTGTAATTATTTTCAGTGTTTACTGTAGATTGTTATTTATAATGTAATATGATCCAACAATCATGCTTCATAAATTATGACAAAAGATATTTGTCATAAACAATACAAAGGCAATAGTGAATTTAGGCTCAATTCAGGGCCAAACTCCGATGTAAAAGGTAAATTGGTCTCCTACAAATCAGATATTCTTCATCCTACTTGAAATCGCTTGTATAACAGGCAAGGGAAATCCTCAGGAGTTTACTTTTACCTTACTTCAATTTACTTTTGTATATGACCATATTTTTTAGTACCTTAATTTTTTACTTAAATCCAGTTTACCCAAGATAGTCTAATAATAGAAAGCAGGATCTGCAGAGAGGAATATCTTGCTTAAGATCAACTACAATTTGAACAAACAAACTGAAGAAAGTTGAAGGGTCTGTGTGTCTGAAACTTGCCCAGTTTTTCTATCAGTAGATCTAATGAATAATATTCTACTGCTTCCAAATCTTTCCTCTTACTTAAATTCATCTCTGGATTTAGTTTGCAGCTTGTTCATTAGTCAAACAGACGCTTCTCAACATCACTAACATCACACACTTTTCTGATAAGGATCTCAGAGCAGCAATTCACTAGTGACGGGGTAAAACCTAAAATACATTGTCTAATTAGCTTGGATAATGTTACACTGGGCCTGCTATGGCTTGCTACTTATTTGACTCAGGCCACTGTTATAAATCTCTTGCTCACATTAGCCTTGCATTTTGGTAGTTTCACACTCAGCAG